AAATTTGCAGAAGAATGCAATGCAATTGAATCATCAAGTTTACGCGGTACGATTTTACGGAAACACGTGGCAACTCATTGCATACAATTAAAGCTCACTGATATCGCTGTTTCTGATTTGGCTACATTCATGGGACATGCAGAAACAATACATCGAGAACACTATAGACAACCCCTAGCAAGCAGAGATATTCTTAAAATATCACAATATTTAGAGGCAGTCCAAGGTAATGTACAAGATTTGGACGAATCTTCATCGGACAGTGAATACGAAGAGAATCAAGAAGATGAAATAAAGGATAACAATAATAACGACGTAACGACAAACTATACGAACAAAGAGAATTTATCTTTAAGTAATTATATAAATATTTGAATTTTTCATTTTTGCTTAACAGGAAATATACTAGGTGAAAAATTAAAGATGCTACATAATATTTTTGACATTATCGAAATATGACAATATTTAATTTTCTAGCAACGCGCAGTTTGATCTTGAAAAAGGAATGTTACATGATAAAAGTAATATTTGTTAAGAGTCATTAAGATAATTTTAACTAAATTTTATATCTAGATATGACATTTGTATTTAATTTCATATTTCGTTAAATTAGACCAGCAAACATGATGACTTATTAATAATATCTCTGACATCATTCTCATGTAGCAAAAAAGTCCGAAAAACGTCGTAAAGACGTTTGAAAGACGTTCTGGATGTTCATGAACGTCTCATGACGTCTGAACGTCTTTTGGCTATCTTTACAATGTATTTTGAATGTTTTTTGCTGCCTGGGATAATACATTTTTAATACGTCATTAATACAATATCAGATTTTTTTTTTTTTTTACTAAAGTTGTATATATTCGGAACATACACGTATATAGTTAAAACTTAATAGAAAAAAGAGAAAAAGAGAATTAGTGCAAGATAGTGCAGAGTGAAAATCAGGAAGGAGAAGAACAGATCACTTTCCAGTAAGCAAGAAACATATTAAATCAATCTTTTGAGACGTTGAATTTATGTGATTTTTATAAACATTTGTCAATAATTTTAGAACATTTTGACATTATATTTTATAAATGATTTTAAATCGTTACTTGATAATATAATATTCCTAAAAATTAAAATCATAGTGTAGAAATATTATTTTTAATGTTTGGGTCAAATATTATACTGTTACTTATTATAACTACTTACTATACATACTGTTACTTGTTATAACCCACACAGCACGAAGTCGACTGTTAGTTGACTGTTAGTCGGCAGAAAAAGTCTAAAGTCGACTTTAAAATTAGACTGAATGTCAACTTATAGTCGACTAACAGGCGTCAAATGTCCTGACTATAGTCGACTCTCAGTCAGCCAGTGTAGACACTTCTTACAAGGGGACGGCACGGGTTGGGAAATTCAGTTTGGGATCAGCCTTCGTGTGGTGGTAGTGTACCCTTAGGGTGTAAATATATTACAGTCAAATGGCGCACTATCCAGCTAATTCCGAGAAAAAGCGTCTTAAAGTTTTCCAAGCAGCTTATATACAAGAAAGTTTTCTCACCTTTCAAGCGGCCGTGTGGTTAAGGCGGTAGCGTGTCCGACTCGCAATGCCCGTAGTCGCAGGTTCGATCCTTATAACTTGATTTTTTTTTTTCATCCGAACAATCATCCAATAAATATTTTTTACTTCTAATTAAAAATTTATTCATTTACAAGTTATTTTATTGAAAAAAATAGAAATTTTTAACATTTGTCTTTAAACACTCTTTTTAACTTTCTTTTTATTCATCCACAAAATTTTTACTAATTAATTGTTAAAAGTTTATTAGTAAAAATTTTTACTAATAAACTTTACTTAATTTTTAATTTTTGTAAAGAGAAAAACAAATAATTGTTTAAAAAAATACATTGTAAATAATTACATACTTTTTCTTAAAAACAATTTTTTTATATATACTAATTGATTTGTCCCATTATTCTGAACATAAAAGTATTACGGTAAGATTATCGAAAACTAAATATTTTACGAGATATTTTATTTTTTATATCAAAATATGTCAGATTAA